TATTTTATATTCTTTCACCCATCGAGTTCATTCAGGTGCAATCTATGTTTGATTAGTATTTGCTCAGTGCGTCGATATCGTTCTCAGTTTGTGTGCGAATCGTTTTCCTTTTACCTACGAGGCCTGACTCTGCGCAACAAAAGGGCACGCGCCTGTGTACCTTGACTGAAAGACACTGTGTGGGTACTCAGATGTTTACGAGTAAATGACTTTTCTACAGTAGTGTCTTGGGTGGATTTCAGCAGGGGAGCTTCGATTTCGAGGCAAAGATTTGCACTGCTTGTCTGAGAGTGAGACACCACGCTGGATGCAAGATCTCATGCACCCACCATCTTTATCTTTGGTTCGGGCCCGTCGGGGACCCGTGGCCCACCGTCCGAGGAACAGAAACGACAGGGTTTGAAAATTTGGGGTAGCAAGTGGGGGCGGGGTTTCTCTGGCACGTGCAAATTCCAAGAGATGGAATGGCCGAAAGATAAGATAGCACAGTTTACACAGCACTTGATTGGCTGCCTGGTCGAACCTGCCAATTTTCCTTGTGCATTTGGGTTTGCCTGATGTGGGTCTCCGTTGCGAAATTTGGCGGCGAACAAAAGCTTGTCTCTAAACCGGTTCTGGCCAAGTGACCTCATGGATGGCCTGTTGGAAAACTCAATTGCCTGGGGAAGGTACGACCTGACAGGGTTCAGGACAGAACAGAAAAGACGAGTTGGTTGATTAACTCAGGTCGGCAGTGATCTCGACGACAACCTCAAGCTCAAGAGCACTCATTCAGCGATTCCCGCTCCTGGTACGAATACGACATTGAAGGCCCCAAATGCGATCCTTAGCTCTGTCAGGTGGGGGCACTCCTGGCAAAGCTGGGACGATAACAGGACAGACCCCAACAAAATGTGCCAAGATCAACCTAGCCCGGTGTGTTGTTCTGTGCCCCATGCTTGGATGGGGCACAAGAATCGGCGCACCAGTCAACACTCATTTTTTTCTCTGCCTTCTCCATCTCGACGGCCAGGAAATCCTTTCCATCCGCGCAGAAAAAGGGACAAGACGGGTCAAAAGACGGAGAAGACGGGGCGACATCACCACCTCTCCATCTGATCATAACTTGGCTGCGATCGCTGCTTGCTGACACTTTCGTTAATATCCGTCGTTGTCGTCTTATCGTGCCATTGAGTCAGTCAGTCGTCCAGCGCGATCGATCAGATCGGATTGAGGCACGGCGACTGAAGTCATCACGAAGGACGAAACCGACACCGACGTTTCCGACATCAAGATGGAGTCGCAAACGCAGAACCAAGTACGGGTGGGCGAGCCCTTCAACGACGCCGAGTCGGCCGACGAGCGGCTCGAGGCCATGGGGTACAAGGCGGAACTTGCGCGGACGCGATCGACCTGGCACGTCACCTTCATGTCGTTTGTGCTGGCGTCGATCCCCTACGGCCTGGCCACGACGCTGTACTACCCCCTGCAGAATGGCGGCTCTGTCGTGGTGATTTGGGGCTGGCTGCTCGTCAGCTGCATCATCCTGTGCGTGGCGGCGTCGCTGGGCGAGATCACGTCAGTTTTCCCCACGGCCGGTGGCGTCTACTACCAGACCTTCATGCTGGCCCCCTCGCGCTTCCGTCGCGTCGCCGCCTACATGTGCGGCTGGGCCTACGTCGTCGGCAACATCACCATCACCCTGGCCGTCAATTTCGGCACCACCCTCTTCTTCGTCGCCTGCGTCAACGTCTTCGAGACAGAGCCCGGCGTCGGCGTCTGGGGCGCCGAGGTCTACCAGATCTTCCTGACCTTTGTCGCCATCACCGTGCTGTGCAACCTCATCTCCGTCTTCGGCAACAGGCACCTGCCCCTGCTCGACACCTTTGCTGTCTTCTGGACCTTTGCCGGCGTCCTCGCCATCATCGTCACTGTCCTGGCTGTCGCCAAAGAGGGTCGCCGCAGCGGTGCCTACGTCTTTGGCGACTTTGAGCCCACATCGGGCTGGCCCGCCGGATGGGCATTTTGCGTCGGCCTGCTGCACGCTGCCTATGCCACCTCGTCCACCGGCATGATCATCTCCATGTGCGAGGAGGTGCAGCACCCGGCCACCCAAGTGCCCAAGGCCATGGTCATGACCATTGTCATCAACGCCATCGGCGGCCTGATCTTCCTGATCCCCCTCATGTTTGTTCTGCCCGACCTGGCTGCCCTCGTCGCCCTCCCGTCCGGCCAGCCCGTGCCCACCATCATCAAGACCGCCGTCGGCTCATCTGGTGGCGCCTTTGCCCTGCTGATCCCTCTCATGGTCCTGGGCCTGCTCTGCGGTACCGCTTGCACCACCGCCACCTCCCGGTGCACCTGGGCTTTTGCCCGTGACGGTGCCATCCCCGGCTCCAAGTGGTGGTCCAAGGTCCACTCCACTTTGGACTTGCCCCTCAACTCCATGATGCTGTGCGCCGTCGTCGAGATCCTTCTGGGCGTCATCTATTTTGGCTCCACTGCCGCCTTCAACGCATTTTCTGGCGTCGGCGTCATCTGCCTGACCCTTTCCTATGTCGCTCCCATCGTCGTGTCCATGGTGGAGGGGCGCGCACAGGTCCGGGGCGGCAAGTTCTTCCTCGGCAAGCTGGGCTGGTTTTGTAACATTATCGCTGTCGGTAAGATATCCCCTTCAACCCCCACCCCCATGCACATTATGCGTTATTACCTGACAGCCTGCTAACCAAATTCTTCCTTCTTCCTCAGCTTGGTCTGCTCTCGCGCTGCCCTTGTTCTGCATGCCTATCTACATTCCTGTTACCTCCCAGACCGTCAACTACGCACCTGTCGTCTTCGTCGGCTTCTTTGGTATCGCCTCCGTTTGGTACTTTGCCTGGGGCCGCAAGAACTACCGCGGCCCTCCAACCGAGACCCAAGGAACCGTGGTGCCCTACGCCTCGCCCGAGGCCGCGCACTCGGCAGATCACTTCGCCAACAAGAAGGATTAGTATGCTGATTCTCTTATAATGTCTTCCTCCTCTGTCAACCAGAGCCGGAGTCTTTTATGTTTTGTATAAAATTTTGTCATGATAACCAATTTCTGAGCGTTTAACACTACTTGTCTTGTATGGTGAATGGAGCATGTCTGGGCCATGTGGCAGTCATGCCAACGCTGCATGTTGCACAGTCATATAATACCCCTCACTATCACGGGTTCTAGATAGCGAGATACTATGAATGATAATGAGCCATACGAGAAGGAGGAGAGGATTCAGCTGGATGAGTCAAAAGGGGCTGCGCTCAGGTGGGTGGACTTGGAGGGACCCTCAAGCACAGTCTTTTTATCCTTCGTTCCTTCCCATTGAGCCGCTCATACGCAGGCAGACCAGAAACGATGTAGCTCGAAGGTTATCGGTGTCCCTTCCTTGTTGAAACTGAACACAGGGCAGGCAGGCAGACTCAACGACATGACACCCAGCCTCCCCCACACCACTCTCCTCTTCTTTTGCCAAACTGCACCGTCGCATCTTCAACAAAGCTGCCCGCATTACAATTACTCTCAGCACTTGTCTCGACTGGAAACAACATTGTGCGCTGGTGTCAGTCTCGTACTCTCGCATTGCTACAAACATCTATTGGACCTTGGCCTTCTTTCTCTCTGCAACTGCTGCCAGCACCAAACAGCCAACAACATTCACTCGAGCCAAAATGGGGCAACTCGATGTTTCAGTTCGGGCTGCGGTCGACAGTGACTTCAACAGCATCAACCGTGTTGCCTTCCTGGCATGGGAAGAGGATCCGGTCATAGATTTCCAGGCGCCAAATAGTCTTAATTATGTCGACGACTACCGGACACTCATATCGCGCATAGCTTCACGTGCTCTCCACTCCCCGACAGGCCTTACCTTTGTCGCAGAAACCGTGCCCACGACCGACTACCAAGCCCCCAAGATGGCGGGCTTCTGCAGCATGGAGCGGATGGTTGTGAAGGAGGGCAGGTACAATACCAGAGAGGCCAAGCTTGCCGCCCAGCGCTCGGTGGAGCGGCAATGGAAGCAGTTGCAGGACCACTTCAAGCTTTTTGAGGGTGAGTCAGATTTCATTTTCTGTGGTTTACCCTGCCTGCGACCCAGAGGAAGCTCGCTGACACGCAAGGCAAGCGGTTTCCAAGCCCAGTCCCATCAGAGGAACAGCGAGCATCGCGCTGAACAACAGGGCAGTGTCGCGCCATCGCACCGCGGCCTTTCGGTACACGGAAGAGGCACAGTACCACAATATGACGGTCAAGAGAGGGTTGACGTCGTGGTGGTGGATCTCATGCCTGGCGACAGACCCCGAATACAAGGGCCAGGGCGTGGCCGTGCGCATTCTCGAGTGGTTCTGTACCATCGCCGACTTTGGAGACCAATGGATCGGCGTCAGCTGTTGCCCTGAGGCGGCGCCGCTTTACAAATACCTCGGCTTCAAGGTGTACAAGGTCTATACGGTGCAGATCAAGGGGGATTTTGAGGAGCAGCAGGTTGTAGTACTGCACAGGAGGCCCACGGCCCGCAAGCCGCGCGCGCCTACAATTGGTGGGGTATCTTTGCTTGAATAGTTAGGTACTTTTTATGTCTTGGGTCTGGGTTTGGGGGTCCAAGCGGATTTGTTTTATGCAGCGATAAGAGGGTGCTTTTGTTTTTGGGAGATGAGGTAGTAGTGTAAAGCATGTTTTGTAGCTGGTAGCATTACAAGACGTTAACTTCTCTTCACAAAGATTCCCAAAGTGTTTAACGTACTGTTGATGGCTGGGAAGGTGTTTCTCTTTGACTTCTCCACCGGCCATGAGATCAAACCGCACCGATAGTATCCAACAATGACACATTATAGTATGAACACGTAAGGCTCGTATACCAAAGCTAATGTTTAGTTCCACAGTTGTCCAACCCCATCAAGTACCAATCTGTTCAAAAATAGAGACATCTGACCACGTACCAGGTCTAGATGGAATTGATCAAGCAAAAAGTGAGATTCTTAATTAACAAAGAGAAAACTTGTTTTGCATCAAGAGGGAATCGAAACCCCCCCCCCCCCCCCCCCCCCTCAATCTTGGAAGGGTTGAATCCTGACCACTAGCCCATTGATGCGTTTTGATTGACTTGTTCAATTAAGGTATCGGAGCCATGGAACTGACAACTCCAAGGAGTCTATGTTCCGTAGCAGTGTTACCCACAAACTGGACTAGTAATTTGTAAAGACATAAGCCTCATTGGAGATAGCGTTCAAGTCGCAGTTTCAATGTTTGGACATGGTACCGGTATGAAATGAAAACACCGTATCTCATTTACGAGATTGATAATAGGCATAGTCGAAGTCAGTGCGCCTGGCTACTGTTCATATGCCTCAGACTGAGATAACAGAAACTGATTCAGGGTCCAGACTCTGTTGAAGCTGCACGAGCGGATATTGGTGGGGAGCCAGTGCAGTCTAGACTTCTGGCAGGCTAGCTTCGGGGGACAGAATCCGGGAGCAGGCCGCGCAGTTTGCAAGACGTAAGATATTGGAAAAGGAAGGTGAGATAAGACGCTACTTGTTCAACAAAGCGAAACTGAAGCGTGCGATCAACAGAAAAGGACACAAAAAGGGCAGCAGCTAAGGAGAGTCTGGGCGTGGGTGAGTGGTGCGCGGCATCTCCGCAGACAAAAAAAGACGGCATTATTGGCATTTTGACCTCACCACTTGGCTGTTGGCTGTCTTGGTTGGACTGGTCGGTGCGGACATTCACGAGCACGAGTCGTGGCGACGAACTGGATGACTGACCGGATGCGCGAATCAGCCAGTAAAAAGGCAAGTAGATTGATTTGAAATTGGGCATGATGGTGGTGCGCTGTGGTGCGCTGTGGTGCGCTGTGGTGCGCTGTGGACTCTTCCCGGCATGACGAAGCCTAGCTCTGCTCCTTTGCATCTTACCAAGAAGAATTTTCGTCCGGCCGTGGTGCAAATCGGCCACGGCAGATGGCATCATCGGCGACCCTCCACCGAACAGGCAAATTATGTGTCAGGAAACCGGAATGATCCCTGATGGAAAAGCCTTGGTAACCATCCAGCGGTCCGATGCAGCAGCCTGACCAGGCCTGGCAAGCCTGGGTCCGCCGTCTTGGGACGCTAGCGGTGGCGACTTGCCCACCAACGCGCCCTGGGACGTCCCCTGTGGGAGCCGCATCCAACCGCTGCCATCCCAGCACCGGCCCAGCACCCGTCAGCGCACCCATCGCACGCCCTGATAGGCCCTGGCCATGGCGTGATGGCGCGATGGCGCGATGGCGCCGGCCTTGTCTTCCTTAAAGTTTGCCCTAGTTCAGCGTCCGTCTCCCGTTCGTCTGACCTTTTTTCTGGCTCGTATCAGCAGTTCCAGGTCAGATTGTCAGAAGCAGCCATGATGTCAAAGTTCTTTTCGCCAAAGGGCGACAACCACCACGACGGCTCGACATCCACCATCACCGACCACGACCACAAGAATGCACACATCTCGACGGCCCCCGAGGACCATGACATCCAAGACGGTATGTTTCTTGTTATTTTTTGACTGATAAAAAAATAACTAATAAAATTTCATCATAGGCCACCTACAAGTAGCGCGCGACAACAAGCGCCAAATCGGCATCGTCTCGGCCACCTTCCTCATCGTCAACCGCGTCATCGGTACCGGCATCTTTGCGACACCCGGCGCCATCTTGGCCCTGTCGGGCAGTGTTGGCTTGTCGCTCTTCATATGGCTCGCCGGCATGCTGATCGCCCTCGCGGGCACGGCCGTCTACACCGAGTGGGGCACAGGTTTGTCTTTGTTTACTTTCCCCTCCCCCCCTTTTCAGCCCCCCTGACCACCACCCATCATGAGGTAGGTACTGACTACTCTGTCTCTGTTGTCCAGGCCTCCCCGTCAACGGCGGCGACTACGCATACCTCAAGCACGTCTACCGCAAGCCCAAGTTCCTGGCCTCGGCCATGTACGCCGGCTACGTCGTCCTCCTCGGCTGGGCCAGCGGCAACTCGGTCATCTTTGGCGAGTACATCCTGCACGCCGCCAACGTCGAGGTCGACCGGTGGAACCAGCGCGGCATCGGCCTCGCCTGCATCACGGCCGCCTTCTTGATCCACGGCTGCGCGCTCAAGTGGGGCCTGCGGCTGCAGAACCTGCTGGGCGCCATCAAGGTCATCATCATCCTCATTATTGTCCTTGGCGGCTTCATCGCCCTGGCCGGCCACGTCAAGCTGCCCGAGGACGAGAAGCCCAGAAACTTTGTCAAGGCGTTCGAGGGCACCACGGGCAGCGCGTACGGAGTGGTGACGGCGCTTTACAACGTCATCTGGAGCTACATCGGCTACAGCAACGCCAACTACGCCCTGAGCGAGACGCGCAACCCGGTGCGGACGCTCAAGATTGCGGCCCCCATGGCCATTGGCGTCATTTCGATCCTGTACATGCTGGTCAACATTGCCTACTTCGCGGCCGTGCCGCGCGAGGAGATCCTGTCGTCCGGCCGTCTCGTGGCCGCCTCCATGTTCCGCAACGTGTTTGGCGAGACGGCCGAGCGCGCGCTGTCTGTCTTTGTCGCGCTTTCGGCCTTTGGCAACGTCCTCGCCGTCATCTTCTCGCAGGGCCGTCTGGTGCAGGAGCTGGGCCGCGAGGGCGTCCTCCCCTTCCCGCGCTTCTGGGCCAGCAACAAGCCCTTCAACGCGCCCCTGGCTGGTCTCTTTGAGCACTGGGCTGTGTCGGTCATTATCATGCTGGCGCCGCCCCCTGGTGATGCGTACAACTTTATTCTCAAGTAAGCGTGTTTTTTTTTTTTTTTTTTTTTTTTTTTTTTTTTTTTTTTTCTTTTTTTTTTTCTTTTCTTTTTTTTCTTTTTTTCTTTTCTTTTCTTTTTTTTTTTTCTTTTTTTCTTTTCTTTTCTTTTTTTCTTTTCTTTTTTTCTTTTCTTTTCTTTTTTTCTTTTCTTTTTTTCTTTTTTTCTTTTCTTTTTTCCTTTTTTTCTTTTTTTCTTTTTTTCTTTATTATAATACTACTACTTACTACGTTGTGGAAGTACTGACTGACATGACACTCTTTACCTCCAGCCTGATCTCCTACCCCCTCGCCATCGTCAACGTCTTCGTGTCGGCCGGCCTGCTGCACATGTACGTCAACCGCACCAGGTGGAGCTGGTACCCGCCCATCAGCGCCACCATGCCCGTCGTCATCTTCTTCATGCTCAGCAACGTCTACCTCGTCGTCGCCCCCTTTGTGCCGCCCACCGACGGCCAGAACGTGTACAAGAGCCTGCCGTACTGGATCCACTGCGTCGTCGGCTTCGGCATTATTATTTCCGGCGGCATCTACTGGTGCTTCTGGGCGGTGCTGCTGCCCAAGATTGGCAAGTACGAGCTCATCCAGGAGACCGTCATTGACGAGATTGACGGCTGGGAGGGCAGCGTCTTTATCAAGAGGCCGCTGTCGCAGTTGCCCACGACGACAGCGGAACGTGCGACTACGACGGGCACAAACTATTGAGATGTTTGCAATGAGGCATGTGTATAATAATATAAAAAAGATGGTGCCGCTTTTCGACGAAGGTGTTGATGGGATCCTAGACGGTGGTCGTTTGAGGGTGTGTGTTCTTGTATGATGGACAATTATACCTGGGATCTTGGGTTTGTCTGGTGGCTTCACGGGAGTTTTGGTGTTTGTTGTTTGTTTTGCAAATGATACCGATTGATGTTGTGAGCTTAACTTCAACATGTTTATGACATATATAAATAAATCTGGTATGTTCATGACTGTCGAACCCCTTCCTTTTAACAGCAAAACACAGCGCAATACTTCGACAAACAAGTACCTCCTCCCTCTACACAACATTGCCCTTGTTCTGGTGAATGCTCGCCACTCTGATATCGCGCCAAAAGAAGACACACGCGACCGCCGCGGCCAAGGAGCACACGCTCGTGATGAGCATGTAGCGCTGGGCCTCTCCATAGGCGAGCGAGATGGCGATGCGGGTGGGGCTGCCCATCGGGTAGCCCAGCTGGCTGTAGATGCTGCTGTAGATGAGCTCGAGGGGAGCCTTGGCGGGGAGGTGCTTGACCAGGGCCGGGTGGAAGGTGCCCGTCCAGATGGCAGCGGCAACAGCTGACCCGACAGCGTAGCCCACGCTGCCAAACAGATCGAGGATGGCCAGGATGGTAGCCAGATGCTGGTGCTCCATGGGCGCCATCATGGCCATCTCGGCGGCGATCACGATGGGCCCGCCGGCGAAGGCGACAAAGATCTGGGTCATGACAACGTAGCCAATGTCGGCGTCGGGCTGGCGGAAGTGGATCATGAGGCCGACGCCCAGAATCATGAGCGGCAGGGCGAAGTAGAGGGCCACCCACCTGAAGCGGCCACTGCGGCGGATGGCGTAGCCCAGCACCAGGGCCGAGAAGCACGAGCCGGTGCGGTAGATGTTGCTGATGTAGGTGGCGTGCGTGATGCTCTGGCCCCAGACCACCATCAGCATGGAGATGAAGTAGCTGCCCCAGACGGCCGAGTTGAAGAAGACGAAGAAGAGCATCAGGCCGGCCGCCAGCACGGTGCGGTCGCCCAGCAGATGCATGGGGATGAACTTGACGGGCGCCAAGAAGTGCTCGTAGAGCGCGAAGACGATGATCAGAACGGCGCCGATGACGACGAAACAGATGATGATGGGCGCACGCCACCTGAGCGTCTGGTACGACCAGATGCTGAGGCCGGTGAGGAGGAGGGCCAGACCGGCGGCCAGCAGCAAGATGCCAAAGAGGTCAAACTGGACGGCGAAGTGGCGCACCGACCTGAGCGTCAGACGGGGACGGCTGGCCGGGATGAGGCCCTGCTTCTTGGCGCGCTGCGTGCTCAAGAGGAAGATGAGGATCAGGGGCAGGACGACGGCGGGCGTGATGATGGCCCAGATGCCGAAGCCCCAGCGCCATCCAGGGCCACCACGGGCGAGGAAGCGGTCCGAGATGGGGCCGCCAATCCACGTGGTGAAGATGTAGGGCGACGTGGCAAAGGCCAGCATGAGGCCTCGGTTCCTGAAGCTGGACGTGTCGGCAACAAAGACGGAGATGCAGTAGCTGATGCCCTGGGCTCTGT